AATATAATATAACTGTTATTATAACATATTATTATTTTATTTATTTATTTCATTTTTAATTTTTTAATTTTTATATTTTTTCGGACAAAGTCCAGGTCTAGCAGTCCAAGGGCCTAACAGACAGGGTAGGCAGACATGACCCAGCCAACCGATCTAATAAGCCTAACAAAGAGTTGGGGTTTCATGTTAATCAAGGGTACTACATGAGAAGAAGCAAAAAGCGCGCGTGGAGGCCACACGCCAACAACCAGCGAGATTTTTGACCGAACAACCCAGGACTGACCCATCCCGAGCTTTTCGACCGCACCAACAACCAACGTTGTCGAACGAGACTGAACCATCTCGGAAGAATCGGCAACACCCCAAGATATTCGGGACCACAACGACCGGTTACGGGGCTATAAAAGACTTCGACCATGCAATGAAAACAACAACAAAATGAGGCAAAAAATAGATCAAGTTACCAATAGCAACCAAGCAACATACGAAGAAAATCACAAAAATACCAAAAAATCACAAAAATACCAAAAAAATCACGAAAATGAATAACACTAAAAAAAACATAGCACCAAATATAGAAACCCAAAGGCAAAAACCATTCGAAATCGAAAGCAAAAAAAATTGAGGCTTTATCTCGTCAAAGAATGCCGAGAACGCACAGAGGCCTCGTCTGAAGGAGAAGAGTCACCGAATAGTCGAAAAGTCACTATTGATAAAGGTAAAGTTGAAACTTTGAACGTAGATCTATGTCGTTTAAGGTTTTTTTTATGGAATTTGGGGCTCGGGCTCAACTTTGGGACGTTTAGAGGAGCATTTTCAGGTAGCCCCTAGGATTTCAGCCACCGACGACGGTGGTTAGAGCGGTGGTGCGTGGCTAGGAACGGTGGCTGGCCATTCGGCCGGATGGCTTGGGTTGAGAGAGTTTAGAAGAGAATAGAATAGAAGAGTGATATTTAAGAAATGGGGTTGAAATGAAATATTTTTAGGATTTGTGGGGTATTTAAGGGGGACCGAAGGATAATTAGCAAATAGTTTAATTATTTCCGCAGTCTCCGAACTTTTGATGTGTAATTCATTTTGGTCACCTGTTGTAAATTTTCCCATGAATTTCAAATTTATTCAATTTAATCCTTATACAATTTTCTTATATTTCGCAAATTGACCCCTCCTGACTTTTTATTTCTTCTTGCAACATCCAAATGTTGTCAATTTGGTCCTTAATTTTAAATTTATTGCATTTAAACCCTTTTAATTTAAAGTTTTCTTTTACTTTATATTTTCTTAATTTAATTTTGTTTTACTTTAATAATTAAAACTGATTTGATTTATAATTTTAGGTCCATTTCAAATCATTCGATGGTAAGTAGTTCAGGTCAAACTTTTAAATTTCAATTTTACTTTTAATGTTCGCAATTATGACAACTGGGAAATTAAATTGGTACCGAAAGGGCAATGCAAGGGTGCTAATCATTCCTTGATTGTAATTGAGTCTCAAATCTGACATATTTTTGCTAAAACGCATATAAGATAAGGTGGTAAATTAAGGTGTCCGGTAAACCTAAATTTTTCTAAAAAATAATAAATGATCGGTGGTGGCTCTAGCATGTTTCATTTAAGTCGAAGCCCAATTTCGGGCCCACTCGAAGGACGGTTACGACAACACTAAATGTAAAATTAAGAGTTTTACATTTTTTTAAGACCATTAGATTGAGCAAAATCAAATATTGGGATTAACTCTCTCTTTTTCAGTGAATATCTTCTTATTTCCTACTGTTAATCTCAGCCTTTAATTTATCTCATCCTAATATATATGATCACAAGGATTTTACACTGCGTGTAAACTAAGAATTTTACACTGCGTGTAAACTAAGAATTTTACACTGCGTGTGAACGGATCCTAATATATATATATATATATATATGATCACAAGGAGGTGTGCGTTCACAAAAATATAATCATTATCTTACCACCAAACTTGTAAACCACAAACCCTAGTGGTTTAGATCTATTTGGTTGTTAATTATATATTTTTACATACATATATATTATTATAATCCTTTGTTGTTTTGACTAAATTTACAACTAAATTAGAAGCTTATTGGTTGGTCGGTTGATCTTACGTATATTCACTAGCATGAGCTATGTTTGATGTATATATCAAGTCTGCAAAATAAATCAGTTTAAACCAATACCGAACAAGTTTTTTATATTGTATGTTAATGAACAAAAAAAAAAAACTAGAAGAAGTGGTACAAAAAAGAATTTCAACTTGTCAACCCTGTGTTTGATGTGGACAATTTCTTTTCTTTTTCTTTTATTATTTCTACTTATATATCGTCGCGTTTTGTTTTGGATTTTTCCAAAACAAAACATGGATTCATTTGCATTTATGGATGATGGGTTTTCCATAAATCATGGCTTTTTTGGGTAAACTACGTATTTAGTACTTAAATCATTAGTTTTAATTTGTTCTAGTATCTAAACTTTTAATTTTTTTCAAATCATACCTATCGTTTAATTTTGTTACATTTTTATAACTTACCGTAAAAAACTTAACGCAACTACCAGTTTTAGTATCTAAACTTTTAGAAAAAAAATTAAAACTTAACGTTAAATTTTAAACAATGATACTAAAATGAAACAAAAACTAAACTTTAGATTTGATTTTAAAAAAAATTGAAAGTTTAGGTACTAAAATATATCAAAACTGATAGTTTAGGTACTAAACACATAATTTACCCGATTTTTTTCTTAGGGACCATTGCAAAACAATTTATGCTATATAAAATCTAGAGTAAATTGCGTGTTTAATATCTAAACTATCAGTTTTAGTTTATTTAATACATAATTGTTTATTTTTTCTAAAACAATTCCTAAAGTATAGATTTTGTTTCATTTTAGTTTATTGTCGTTAAAAACTTGGTTTTTGATTCATTTTAGTACCTCATTCAAAATTTAACGTTAAATTTTAAATTGATAGTTTAGGTACTAAAATGGACCAACAATGATAGTTTAGGTACTAAAACCGTTAAGTTTTTAATGACAGATACTAAAATGAAATAAAAACTAAATTGTAGGTATGGTTTTGAAAAAAATTAAAAATTTATGTACTAAAACAAATAAAAACTAATAGTTTATGTACTAAATGCATAGTTTACTCTAAAATTTATTATCTCTACACATTCATGAATGACTAATACAATTAACTGTACTTGGGTAATTAATGTAATTGATTATTAAATTAATAATTATTAATTACAGTAGTAAGGAACTCATAATTCTTAAACATATATTACAAAATAGCCATGGAATTAAAAAAATGATCATAGGAAATTGTATAGGAAAAATATCTCTAATTTGACTTTTTTTTTCTTAAAATATATAATAATATTTTATACAGGGTTGTAGTGGTGTGGTAATAATTAAAATTTTCAGTGTAACGTGTTTTTTGACCAAGATTAAAGGTAGTAATACCCATTCAATGAAGACTGTAAAAATATATTTTATATTTGTTTTAAAAAATATAGGAAGGTGAAGGTGACCATACTGACGTTGAGCTGCATGCAAAAAGTCAGAGCCATGAGATAAATGAGAGTTATTTTCTTTGGTTTAGTTATTTAATATATTTAGTACTTAAATTATTAGTTTTAGTTCCTTTTAATATTTAAATTTTTGACTTTTTAAAATTATACCTAAAGTTTGGTTTTCATTTCATTTAATAACATTGTTCATAATTTAACATTAAATTTTGAGAAAAAAAAGAAAGTTTAAGTACTAAAATATACTAAAATTGGTAGTTTAGGCACTAAACGCGTTAATATTTTAATGGTAGGGTACTAAAATGAAATAAAAACTAAACGTTAGGTATATTTTGAAAAAAATAAAAAAATTAGATACCAAAGTAGACCGAAACTAATAGTTTATATACTAAATACATACTTTATTTTTTAACCTTTTTTTTAATTCAAGCTATTACTTTGTTCAGCTTAAAAAGTTATATGATTAGTAACAATTTCGATTATAACCGAGAGTATTAGATTGTGAAAAGTTTCAACTTAAAATGTTATCTGTCTACTCTAAAAAAAATTGTATAATTGGTATTTCGATTATAATCGAAATATCTTGATGGTAACTTTTTAAATTACAATTAGAATAGTATATTATTTTCAATTTAAATTTAGGGTAAATTCATACCTAAAATTTAGTTTTTATTTCATTTTAATACCTCACGTTAAAAATTTAATGTGTTTAGTATCTAAATTATTAGTTTTGGTCATTTTTAGTACCTAAACTTTCAAAAACAAATTCCAAAATTTAATGTTAAATTTTGAACAGAGGTACTAAAATTAAACAAAAACTAAACTTTAAGTATAATTTAAAAAAATGATAGTTTAGATACTAAACACATAACTTATCCTTAAATTTAAAATGTTATCCAAATTATTTTAAAGGTTTTAAAATCTTAATAAAAATTTTGATTACAATCGATTTATGTCTTTTTTAACTTTATATAAAGCGATTGTATTTCAGACTTACAAGGTACGAAGATAAATGGTAAAGAAGATAAATAAGAGCAGGGTGGATTTAAGTAGGGGGATCGCCTCCTTAAAAATTTAAAATTACTATATATTTTACATTTTATCTATGTATTTTCTATTACAAATTTATTTTTACTCCCTTAAAAGTTTACAAATTTAAATTTATCATCTTAAAATTTTATATCTTCAAATCCATGTTTATATATAAAATCTTGCGGAAAGAAAAAGGAAAAGCAGTTCTAGGTTTGCATTAATGGTGAGGAAATGAGAGATTTGACTGATTATTTATTAGGTATTTCTAGTTCCTGCCTGGGTTAATGATTTTGACTAATTATTTGTCAACGGTTTTTTTGTTTAGAAAATGGAAGGGAACCAGTCAGTTCCTGGGATCCATAAATCCGAAGCCGGTTTCCCCAAAACTTGTTCCTGTTCCTGTTCCTGTTCTTGTTCTTGTTCCCCCCTTTGATCGTCTCCTATAAACACACCCCCAACACCAAACCCTTGTCAGTGCAAAAACATTAACATTCAAACACTTGTGAACAACTGTGTTTCTTTTCCGACAGGGAATATTCATGTCTCCCCCTGCAATCGCGGTGCCAAGCGAAGCCGATGAGTTCCAGAAAGGAGTGAAGCATCTCTTCGAGAATGGAGTTCGTAAACTTCCTAATAAGTACATATTGCCTGTTTCGGACCGACCCAATGTGGATAATGAGAACTCGAATGTGGCTAAGTCTAGTATTCGACTGCCGGTGATCGATTTCGCCGAGTTACGAGGCCCGAATCGGTCCCGAGTCCTCGACTCGCTGTCTTCTGCCTGCGAAGAATATGGGTTTTTTCAGGTGGTGAATCACGGCGTCGCCATTGATTCTATACGGAGTATGATCGACGTGAGCGGCAGGTTCTTTGGTCTCCCGTACGAGGAAAGGGAGAAGTACATGTCGACCGACATGACCTCGCCTGTTCGGTACGGGACCAGCTTTAACCAGATGAAAGACTCGGTGTTTTGTTGGAGAGATTTTTTGAAGCTCGTCTGCAATCCGTTATCCGATGTTCTTCCTCGTTGGCCTTCTTCTCCGACGGACTTCAGGGGAGTGGCGGCTACCTACGCGAATGAAACCAAGTGGTTGTTTTTGAAAATGACGGAGGCTATCTTGGAGTGCCTGGGAGGCGGCGCCGCCGCACCGGAAGACGAGGAAATATTGAAGCAATTCGAAGATGGAAGCCAGTTAATGGTGGTTAACTGGTTCCCTCCTTGCCCTGAACCTGAACTCACCTTGGGAATGCCGCCGCACTCCGATTACGGATTCTTGACACTTCTTCTCCAGGACGAAGTGGAGGGCCTGCAAATCCAATACAAAGGGAAATGGATCACCGTCGAACCATTGGACAATTCCTTCGTTGTTAACGTCGGTGATCACCTTGAGGTAAAGCTCATGTTTCTAGTCTAGTTTTTTGAGTAAAATACGTATTTAGTTCACACTTATTCATGAAGTTCCGTTTTGGTTACCTAATTATAATGTTTTCAAAATCGCACATAACGTTACGTTTTGATTCTATTTTGGTCACTCTTCATTAAAAAAATAAACAGAACCACTTACGAGTCTTCATAAAGTAATGTCATATCATCATTAAAAAAGAAAAAAGTTATCACGTAACAGTTTTGTTTATTTTTATTTTTGATGCTTAATGTCAAAATTAACCCCTAACATTCACCATAATGATCATTTTGGTCTATTTTTAGAGCATTTTAGCTTTCAACGTTTCATTTAAAGGACAAAAGAAACCTAATGTCTAACCAAATAATCACTTTAGCCCTTATTATTTTTTTATAGAGCATTTTGACGCTCAACATTTCATTTCAGGACAATATTTTTTATTTTGGAGCATTAACCGTTTGTTAACTAATGATTTTCATCCATAGAGAGACCTTTTGCCCCAAAATGAAATGTTGGGAGTCAAAATACTAGAAAAGAATAGAGACTAAAGTGACTATTTCATCAAACATTAGAGTATTTTTTAAATTATGCAAGTGGCCGAAACAGAACTGAAACGGAATCAAAATGTTACGTTAGCCGCTAGTTATGATTTTGAGAGGGAAAAAAACGTTGAGTCACCAAAACAGAACTATGAGAATAGGTGGATGACTAAACACACAGTTTACCCTTTTCTGTTCTTCAATGGCTAAATTAGTTCGGACTCTGAAAATGATTGTTTATTTTGCAGATATTCAGCAATGGGAGATATAAAAGTGTGCTGCACAGGGTGTTTGCGAATCCGGCGAAGCCGCGCCTGTCGGTGGCGTCGTTGCATAGTCTGCCGTTCGATTGCATGGTCCGACCGTCGCCTAAACTGATCGACGAAGAAAATCCAAGGCGTTATAAAGACACGGATTTTGCCACTTTTCTTGAATACGTTTCGTCTTGTGAGCCGAAGAAGAAGAATTTCTTGGAGTCTCGGAAATTGACATGAAAACCATTGGAAAAGTGGAACCCAGAATTAAATTTCAAGAAGGAAAAAAAAAAACTAAATATCTGTGTTGACTTTGGTATATTATCACATATTATAATTAATTAATGTTGACAGTATTAGTTGAGATGCATGTATTATTAATTTAGATATCACCCTTTTTTTAATACAATAAAAAATGGTATATTAAAAAGGAAAATGAATTTAAAATGTTAAATGAATAACCTTTTGTCCTTCAATATAACGCAATTGTTTTTATCTTTTTATTTCTCACCCACGCCCGACTCTAATCTTCATTTGATCTTGAACGTTGATGTTATTGGTATTCATATGCTCGAATTAAAGATTTTAAAGAATAACAATAATTCTTTTATTATTGAAGTCACATAATTTGTGCAAATCTAATCCTATATCTAAATTAAGGAATAATCTCTCGCTCGTAATTAGATAAAACAATAAATTTTAAAATATTTATAAAAGAAATTAATGCTTCGGTTATTTCTTTAACAAACTAGATATGATTATAAAGTAGTATCTATTTAGAATCTTTCTTAACTATTGATAATATACAATAAAATAGACATCAATATTTTACATGGAAAACTCTGTTGAACCATGTATTTTGATACATGCATCACAAGACTCACATCAAATGAAGATGGACTAACCCGTCTAATTGATCCACACAACCAAGCCTTGAAAAAGAAGATCAGAATAGCAGCAGACTTGCAATGACTTTTTGAATAGGATTATGGTGTTATTTGGTCCACGTATCTCTTGGAGTTACGACCAGCTGTCTCTTAGCTTTCCAACAGTTCTTGAATCGCATCAATCTGTTATTAGGAACTCAATATACGCTCATTTTAGTGAAGACATCGCATGCAGAAATTCCTATACAAGATTAATAAGGGATTTTGTAAATGTTATGAATTTTTAATATTTTTATTTATTATTTATAATATAATTTAATATAGGATCATGCATTTTCTTTTATGATTAAATTTATTATTTTATTAAGAATTAAATTCGAGTTAAAACATTATTCTTAGTTTATTATTATTAGGAATTAGAATTAAAACATGTTTAGTTTATTACTATTTTATTCATTAGTAGCTTAGGACTGTTAGAACTCCTCTCCTATATAAAAGAGACTTCATTCATCATTATACATAAGATTTCTTTGAATTAATACTAATTGTTTTTTTTTTTTGCAATTGTTGATTTTCTTGTGCCTTCAAAGCTTCTTTTCATTAAATTCTTTTCAAGTTCTTCGTGAGATAAATCTTCACAATCCGATTTGTCTCTTCATTGCGATTGGGAGGGCTGGTTAGATCCATTTATCGAGTTTACCTTTTCATTGCGACTAGGAGGGTTTGATGGAACAATTATCCATCTATCTCATCTTTCACAACTCTATCATCTTCTTCTTTCATTAAAATCCTTCCACTTCCACAACGAGCAACATTCATTTATCGGATGTCGCATCTCTATCATTTGGTATCAAATTTAGGACGATTCTTAGAGAGAATAAATTAATTTTGCTTCATCTTGCATGTATACACTACCAAAAATGGTAAAAAAAACAAAAAAGTTGTTGAGGCAATGCGAAGCCTCATGGTTGCTATTCATCGACAAACGACAATATTTATTTCTCTATAATAGTAAGTAATGACAATGCAAAGACAAATGGATGATCTTACCATTGAAAGATAACAACAAGTAAATCTGAATGATGATAATCAACCAAGAGAAGCTGTAGGAGATCAACATAATTCAATACAACCTAGACATGTACAACCTCGACTTCAAATGTCAAAACTTTTTACTAAACCAAAATTCACAATTCCACAGTTCAAAGGCAAGTATGATCCGAACAGCTACATAGATTGGGAAAGCAAAGTTGACCTTTTGTTTTCCTACTACGACTTTCCCGTGAAAGAACAAGTACCGCTCATCACCTTGGAGTTCCAAGATTATAGGTCGAATCTTTTTGAAGAGAGAGAAGATGATACATGTATCTCAAGGCTCACATCAAATGAAGATGGACTAACACTTCTAATTGATCTACAAGACCAAGCCTTGGAAAAGAATACCAGAATAGAAGCAAACTTGCAATGACTTTTTGAATGGGATCCTAGAGTTATTTGGTTAACATGTCAACTGGAGTTACGACCGTATGTCTCTTATCTTTCCAACGATTCTTGAATTGCATCAATCCAATATCAGGAACTCAAGATACATTCATTTTAGTGAAGATATCGCATGTAGAAATTCTTATACGGAATTAATATGAGATATTGTAATATTACGAATTTTCAATATTTTAATTGATTATTTGTAATATAATTAATATAGGATGATGAATTATCTTGTAGGATTAAATTTATTATTTTATTAGGAACTAAGGTCGAGTTAAAATATTATTCTTAGTTTATTATTATTATAAATTAGTTACTTAGGACTGTTAGAACTCCCCTCCTATATAAAGGAGGCTTCATTCATCATTGTACATCAAATTTATTTGAATTAATACTACAACAAGAGTTTTTTTTTCAAGTGTTGATTGTCTTGTGCATCCGAAGCTTATTTTCATTAAGTTCTTTTCAAGTTCTTCGTGAGAGAGATCTTCAGACTCTGATTTGTCTCTTCATTGCGATTGGGAGGGTTGGTTAGAGCCATTTATCGAGTTTTCATTTTTATTGGGACTAGGAGGGTTCGATAGGACAATTATCCATCTATATCATCTTTCAACCCTCTATCATCTTCTTCTTCCATTAAAATCCTTCCACTTCCATAACATTCATTTATCTTATGTCGCATTTCTATCATTTGGTATCAGATTTGGGATGACTCTTAGAGAAAATAAATTGATTTTGCTTCATCTTGCACGTATACACCACCAAAAATGGTAAAAAAAACAAAGAAGTTGTTGAGGCAATGCGAAGCCTCATGGTTGTTATTCATCGACAAACAAACATATTTATTTCTCTATAATAGCAAAAAACAATAATGAAAAGACAAATGGATGATCTTACCATTAAAAGACAACAACAAGCAAATCTGAATGATGATAATCAACCGAGAGAAGCTGTACGAGATGAACAACATAATTCAAAACAACCTAGACTTGTACAACCTCGACTTCAAATGTTGAAACTTTTTACTAAACCGAAATTCACAATTCCATAGTTCAAATACGAGTATGATCCGAACAGCTATATAGACTAGGAAAGAAAAGTTGACCTTTTTTTTTCCTACAACGACTATCCTGTAACATCTCAAATCAGGGCTAGTGACTAAATTGTAAATTTTGAAAACTTTATGTTCAATTTTGAAACAAGTTAAAAGCTCAGGGACTTTGATGTTGGATTTAATAGTAAAGTTGGAAAGATGAGAGGGTATAATGGTCATTACCTAATGAAGATTTTTATTTTTCTTTATAAAAGGGTGTTAATACGTGGGAAAGGAAAAAGGAAAAGTCTAGAGAATGCAAGTTTATTCTCCTTCTCTTCTCGTGTCTCTATTGCTAAGGTGAGAATGCTTTCAGTTGGCTAATTCTTTTAAGTTTTGAGTTGGTTTTACTCTTGGGATGTTAAATAAGATTAAGGGAAGCTTAGGATGGCTTAATACTCAAAGAATTTCAAGTTATGAGAGATTAAGTAAAATGAGTTTTAAGATGAATTGTTGAGATAGAGTGGTTTTTAGAGTTTGAATAAGATTTTTGACTTGTCAAGGGATTAATTAATAAGTTAGAGCTAATAGAAATGAATTTAGAACACATGGAAAAATTGGTGAAATTCTTTGATTCAAGAATTTTGGTTAGTTATGAAAGATAATGAAGTGTTATGAGGTTTAAAGAGGGTTTGCATGTATATGGATGAGTTTTAAAGCATAAGGAAAAGTTAATAAGTAGAATTTGGAGGCAAGTGTTTAATTTTTAGGCTTGAAAATGGAAATATGGGCAAGGGGGTATCGGTACATGTTGAGTAGGTACCGATACATCAAGACAATTTATGAAGAACTGATTCATGGGGTATCGATACTTATATGAACAGTATTGGTACCATGTGGAAGATGTATCGATACCTATGTCGAGGGTATCGATACCTAGGAAATTTCAAAGCTAATATTAGTATCGGTACCTGAGTGGGGTATCGGTACCTAAGTGGGGTATCGGTACCCTAGCATAGAGGTATCGGTACCTTGAGGGTGGTACCGATACCACTTAAGTTTGAAAAGTTGGAATTGAAGTTTTATTTGGGTTTGTATTAAAATGAATCGTATCAAGTAATTCGAATCTCAATATTTATTGGATTGTGTATTCATGTAGATATCGATCAAGAGCCAAGTCCGTACAAGTTGACAAGTAATAATCATCGAGGATAAGATAAGAGATCGGTATTGACTAGTGAGGCCAAGGTGAGTGCTTATTATTAGAAATATTGATATATATATATATATATATATATATATATATATATGTATGGAAATTAGACTTGTGATAAGTCTATTTTCACGATGTTGAATATAGGAATACATGAATTAAAGTATAGTTATGACTAGGTAATTATATGAATGTGCATGATATGTATTATATATATGATATGATAAGTATATGTTATATGTTGTTTGTGAATAAATGTTATGTAAATATGATATAAGTTATGTGATAATGAACTGGGTGAGCATATGAAAAGTGAAGTAAGTTAAATAATATTGAATTATGTGATTATATAAGTTATATGATATGGATATAAGAGATTAAGTGATATGAACTATGTGACCCCATTATAAAGTGACATGAGTTATGTGATTATATGAAAAATGGGAATTATATGAAAATGTGAAAGTGAACTATGTGAAAGAAGCTAAGAGATGATGAATATATGTGATATGAATGTGTATATGTGAAATTTCATAAGTGATAATACCCATGTTATGTGTCATGAGAGCTAGAGGTATAACTGGCATGCCAAGAGTCGAGGGTTTTACGTGGTCCTTCGGAACATTTCATAGTGGTCCTTCGGGACAAATTCATATGCCCCTAGTGGGACCTTATACGAGCTGTGGTGACAGCATATGTGCACAACCTCTATGTACTCACATATCTATAG